GCGAAGTCTGTAGAAGATTCTTTCACTGCACTTGCCCCAGGTTAACCTTGACCGTTCCCGGAGTCTTCGGCGGGTTGCTTGAGCAAACGATGGATGTATCGCCTCCCAGTGGAGGCATGCGCAAAACCTGCTTACTCCGCTTCAATCCGGTATCAAACGCTAAAAAGGATTATGTAACTTCTTAATTTGGAGAAGCTGCGGCTGTACACCAAGGCTGTCGTGAATTTCTGTGCTCCAGACCATGTTGATTCATTTCAAAAAGAATCAGACCACAGTAGATAGTATATTTCCTTTACAAATCGAAGTCATAACCCCAATATTTGGGGTAGATTTCACGAGTGGGAGCTTTCCTTTATACCAAAAATGCACCCTATTGGCAGACTGCTAGCTTTCAATACTGCCGGTAAAAATAACATTCTCCTTTCACTTCTGTGGATTTATACGGCGTAGATGCACGTTCTTTTTTGCTTCTAGTGGTCTTGGAGACCGTTTAAGTTCGTCGTAGCTCCATGGTATTTTCACATCTGCACGACATATTTCTGTTTGACCCAACGAAGTGTTGTGTAGTGTTGTTTTGAGCCCATTCGCCTAGGCTAATGGGATCAACACCGTGTCGATCCAGAGAAGTGACAACAGAATGATATTAACTTAATATAATAAATTTCGTATGCAATACTTTGCGTAGTTGTGCACTTCTGCAGTTATGCGCTACAGACGTAATAAATAACATTTATTATGTTAGTCATTCACAGTAGATATTCTTTCGTCCGGGTCTCGTCTTAGTCCTGCAAGTTAAATGGTAATTGATGTCCGGAAGCAAGTTGTTTCTAATGTATTTATCAGCGCTTTTGCACTTTGTGAAACTAATCATCGATCAAGGTCAGCGCGACTTGAATTAGGATCTCCCCCAGTGGTCTCAAAGTCATGTAATGAAATAGAACTGTATGAAAATTAAAAAGCCTTGACAGCGGATTCGTATTAAGCTTTCACTGATATGCAGCATGATAAAATCATTCAGTACTCAGTCGTGCTTAGTTGATTTCGCATTTAGTCGGAGCTACTACCTCACTTCCGATATTATGAATGACAACAAATTTCGACGTCTGTTCTGTGATGTCAAACTTTCGTAGTCTCTTCCAGTTCGATTCAGTTTATATATCTGTGATCTGAAAAATAGTTTAGGTTTTCGTTCCGCAAACTGAACGATGCAATTTTACAAGACGCATTTAAAAATAGTACTAAAATGTTTGGGGTTCAGCGATCCGAAGTCAAGGGATTCATTAACGCACTGTAAATATTCATGTTTCATGAATACATTGCCTGTTTAATTTTTTTAACACTCAAGAACAATTAAATGCCTCAGTAAAGTGCGGTCTTTTGGGCCGTTTATTGCATGATAATCAAACGTGATTTGATGTAATGACATAATTAATTCGAAAATATTCATACACAAATCAGTTTAATTATATCCACTGAGCTCAATATTTTGGATCCTGCATTGCATTGTGTAAATACGCCAAAAAACTACATTACTTTTTACCACTTCGGAAACAAAAATTAGCAAGTTACGTTTGAAATAGGTTAGAGGTGAAATAAAAGGTTCATATCTGGAATAAAATGTCAAAAATCTTTCTTCGTGCCACGCGAAAGAAAAGAAACATACAGGAAAATTTTAAAAACTTAAATAATGAACAAATTCTTGGCCATAAATTCCTATTATGTGGCAGGTGCATCACGTGTAATGGGATCCGATTGCGTTTAATATCTGTATCTTGATCATCGCTGGCGAATCACATTCGAATCAATAAATTAACTGCAACGTAGGGCTTTAAAAATTGGCGGACCAGTGAATGGCCAGGTTCCGTTAGGGGTCAATAACGATTTCATGATCCCAGGTGTGTGTTTGACAGGTTTATGACATGGTAACTAAACTGAATTTTTTTATGAGTCATTCAGTCCTTATTTGAAGGCAGATATGGGAGTGCTGGTACGAAGGAGAGAAGTTGGTTCTGCATTACTTATTACTTACTTTGAAGGTAACTGTAGTTATAGCGCCATTGTGATATCCCCTCCGTAATGGAATCTGAACGCCATCGATATTGTCAGGGATTAGCGTTCGTTGTAGGAGTTTCCTATCAGATTCGTTTTCGGTGGAGCATTTTACTGACCTGCTGTTGTGTCGTAAATCGCTCTGCTCGAGTGGGAAATGTTCGGCTAGTTATGCAGTTGCAAGTAATAGGTGACAGATGGTGTGAAGTTTGTCTAGAACAAAGCCATTTTAGCTACAAACGCAAATGGACCGATTTTCCCAACAGTTGTTATGGTAATCCCTGGAGAAGATAGAATGAAACGTTTTGTTCATGTTATGCATCCTTTGAACTGAGTGTTAGGGTTCGTGGGCAAAACCGATGGAAGGCATCAGCGATGTTAGACGGTTAATGTCAAAAACAAACAGAACATCATCTTTCGCATCATTGGAATGGTCAAATTATAGGAAATGCGGCATGAAAAATAGTTGGCATGGCTTCCATGTGTCGTCATCCCTTTGTTATCCTTGTCGTCATCCAAAAGGCCAAGTCATTTGTAATTTCTGTCGTCATGTTACTCTACAACGGTACCTATAAATAGTATGTCCTGGGGCAATTAATCTTTTAACTTTGATGCCCTTTCACCAATACTACACGTCCAGTATTTGAGACAGAATTGAATCGTTTTTATGTTATCGCGTTCTGTTTCAGCTGCATGCCGAGGAAGTTCGGATCATACACAGTTTGGTGACATTCGAGCAACTGAAGTTGTTGTGCGTTCACCACAACCGGCAGATATCGCCAGATAATTCGCCGAGCCGCAAGGATTCAGAGAATACCGCGTCATCGGATAATTTAAAGTGATCTCGTTGGTTCGCTATAAGTGATTTTAGTTTAAAGCGTAATTTCAGCTTTCGCAGCAAGACTACCAGGGTGGTCAACGAACGGGTGGTGTTCGAAACGAAATGCTTCCGTCTCAACACGCTGCTGTCCCACTGTCAACTCGCTACGTTGCTTTTCCCGACTTTAACAGTTGTCGACGGTTAGACGTCAACGGTATCGAAGGCGTTGTTGCAGTTTAAACGCAGATTCGTTTAGAACAGACTGGGGCGACGTTCGAACAGGCTAACTCGTTGTTTTTCGACTCCTTGCATGACGAAAACCTGACACGATGCAGCAGCAGTTTCACTGTCGAATATCGACCGGACCTGCTGCAGTTCTGGAGAAACTTTTTCCAGCGCTTCAGGCCCCCATATGGACGGCAGCCACACTGGAGCGAGGCTCTGCGGGAGAAGTTACTGATGCAGCTCGATGGCAGCTGCGACGACCCGACGACTTTTCCGTTGGCACCTCTGAAATGCTACGTTAAGGAGATCGCCGAGCACCACCTCGTGCTCACTTTTCTGCCACTTTCTTCTAAGGACGTCTATCTGCTGTGCGATGGCGAATCGTCAGCAGCCGCCGTCGAGTCGAACGGCACCCTTACGTTTCCTTTGATCGTTTTCGACTGCTGCCGAACAGCCATCTCAGCCCGTCTCATACAACAGCAGCCGCTAACAACCGTGTCCCATGACTTGGATCTGGTCGAGGACTTTCGAACGCCGCTCGAAAAGGAGGAGTCAGCCCTCAGCGTGCTCCATCGACAGATCTCCAAGTTCTGCGAAAGTTCGAAGAACGAATCGCGACCTGATGTGTTAGAGATCGATAGCGGCAGGAAGTGTCGTTGTGCCGATGACTTCAAGATCTCGTCGTATGTCCATCAGCTGGAGCTGATCTATTCCCGATCATTCGTCGTCGGCGTCTATCAGGTAACCGGTGTCTCGCGCGCTGACTTCTTCTGTTGGCGTTTTCAAGATTAAGAATTATAAACAGCGGTTAGCAGTGTATAAAATTTTATTTATATTACTTGAGCAGGTTGATTGGGGACGACGGGGGGGGTCAGGTTTTGAGCACCTGACATTGCTACGCCATGATATCTGGTTCATATGGTTTTCTTGATTAATGAATAAACAGGACCGTTGGCAAAACCAGGTGATGTGGCTTGGAGGTAAGCTGAGCATACGAGAAGGAATAAGAACCATAAATAGAGGCAGAGATGAAAGTAGAAGAAGCAGGGAAATGGAGAGAAGTAAAAGAGGAAAACGAATGAATTTCCCTAGGGCACGGTCCCATGGCATTGTAACACCTGGTCTGCATGGATGGGTGCAGATCCGCATCACTGAGAAATTCGCAGAATTGACAGAAGGTCGTTTATCTGACCGGCGGTATGGAAATCCATCGGGTTGCTAGTAAACCTGTAAGTTTTGTACGGATGTCATTGTTGTGGATGAATTTAAGATTCAGACATTTGAAGATAAGTGGAAATACGACTGGAAGTGCTTGTGGAAAAGGAAGGGTGATTTTGTTTAGTTGACTTCAGGCAAGGGGACAAACTGATAACTTTGCACATCGACAACTTAATACATTTTGTAAGCAAAACGTGCATAAGCATTATCTGTACAGAAGGGATCACTAGCGGATCAGCTAGGGGAATGGTGAGTCAGCGATGCGAGCAGCAGTGCAGTGCAGTTTGTTTCCAAATGTAAAATCTTTTTGTGCATATCGATTAGGCTTCGGATGATAAGGCGGTTAACAATTACGAAATGCTTCTTTTCGGCCTGCGGTGTTTCCTCATCGCGTTTATTCTTAAGCGACATGCAGCAAAATCTCTGTAAAGGTACATTCACGGTCGATAACGATCGCTTCACGAAGTTTAGCAGCCCATTTATACCCAAGATAGTTGTTTGCCTTATCTATATATATAATAAGCAAGTGTCTGATGCTGTCGCTAAAGTAAGTAGGCAGTAATAATGTGTCTGGTAGCATATTCAGGCAGAAAAATCGAAATGCGTCTGGCCTTAATTGGCGAATGCGTTTGCTTAATCGGTGTCGTTATTACATATCGGTGTTTGAATTTAATAGGCACTGGTTTCTGGTGTCCCGGTTCACAAGCAAGACGTCGTCACTGCTATCGAATGCCAATGCGAAGAGACGGTTTTGGGCCTGGACATGACAGAATTCATTCAGCTGCTGTGCTCCCATTTCTGCAGCTACCGCTTTCTGAAGGATAACGAGTCCCGATGGCAGCGCAGGAACACGAATGACACTGAAATCAGTTGGTTTAGTCTCCAAAGGTACTTAATGTTATTTATCCGGTTCCTGCCAAGTGATTCAGTGTTTGATTGGATCAGTCAGCGAAGGGGGCCATTTACCATGTAAATCTTAGCGCACTGATTACCTGTGACTGAATCTCGATCCCGATCATTCTTGTTTCCGATCAGTAATGT